CGTGCCGCGGGGCATTGTGGGGGCTGTAGTCCGTCCCCTCACGGCCCGCCGGCCGCCGTCCTGAGGGAGCGCGGAGGGGGAGCGCCCTGGTCTGCCCTCGCGGTGCCGTTTCAGGGCTCCTTGAGACAGCAGGGACACGCGTGTCCCAAATTGTTGCCGTGGGGCAACTGTGGCTGAGCCAGGTCACCTCTCCCTCAGCCTGGCACCCCCCAGGTGGAGGCTGCCCTATCCCTCAGGGAGCCCCCCCAGCCGAGGGCTCACTGAGCTGGGCCTCAGGCGGCCCCACCACCACAGAGGCCTGAGCACCACTGCACCCACACACACACCCCAGGCGGGGGGGGAGTAGGGAGCCCTGCTCTTTATAACTTGCCCAGCCCCACCACAGGTGGGCCTCGCTTCACTCCTGCACCAGCTGCAGGTGAGCTGATCCCGGTGGAGTCGCAGCGCTGCCTGGAAGACGACTCGAATCAGCTATCCTGTGGTGTTCAGGACCAGGGAATCGGCTCCAGCAGCGACTGAGCACCGCAAGAATATCACCTATGGCAGCATGTCGGTTACCCTCAGTGCTGCGGTTAGCCCCGCTGCCTGGCTAAACGGAGATGTGGGGCTGTGCAGCCAGTCCAGTGTGACCTTAGGAACTTTAAGACTAATTAACAGAAGGGTGGAGAGGGAACGGATGGCTTGGGGGTGCCCAGGCCAGGGCACGGAGCCCCCCTGTAGGTGGCACTCGTAGACTGTGTGAGGGCGGCACGTTCCCCCGGGAACTGCACGATGGGACTCACTCGCTGCTGAATATTGTTGCTCTCTCCAGCTGGTTCCTGGCAGGGGGACAACTTCGAAGCCTCCTCCTGAACAGCCGGCTTCACAGCCCTTGCCAAGCACGGATGTTTCAGAGAAGGCCCTGACTGTGCTGGTAAAGAGCGGCCGTGTCCTGCCTCGGCGGGGCTGCCGATCAAGCGAAAGCATGGAGATGTGCTACGTGTGGCCTCAGGCTGCACAATGAGGTGTTGGGAACCAGGGCTCCCTGAGCTCCGCTCCAGCCCCGCTCTGTCCTCTGGCAATTGAGTCACTGAGGGCAGAGTTAACTTTACCAACACACAAAGGTGGGGAGGATTGAGCAGATCTTAAACCTCTCTGGGGTGGCTCATCCCCAAGGTGCCCGTTAGGTACCTAAAGCTGCCAGCTTGCTAATCTTTATGGTAGCTCTCATGGAGTTAGACAGACCTTTGGGATCCCCTCGAGCAAGAGCCGCTCCCCAGATATGCGAGACACGTTTCGATTCATCCCCCAAACCAGAGGTGCCCTCAGACCAGACCCGAGCTCCAGACCCAATTCTCCTTGGCATGACACTTGGCGCTACCTTGAAACTTTTTGGCTTGGCCCCATGTTTGCGAATGCGAGTTCCCTCCAACCCGCCGTCTGGAGCGTCTGCAGCATCTGGAAAGCCTCCATCCCTTGGCAGGGTCTGGCTGTGAAGCGAGGGGGTGCCATTTTGGAGAGGCCCACCTCTGTGAGGGAGGAGGAAAGAAGTCCGAACAAGGGGACCTTCTGGAGGTCCTTGGAAGCGGGCAGCTGCCTGTCCCCTGTGTGGGGTCGGGTCACGCCGGTCCTTGGCGTCAGAGACGCGCTCGAGCAGCACTGCTGCCACTGTGAATGTGGTTTGCATCGCTGCAGCGCAAAGATGGTTCCTGACCACAAGTATGGCCGGGGACGTGTCTCAGATTCCAGAGCGCACAGTCACCGATGCCGAGCGCCGTCACCCCGTCGCTCCCTGCCTCCGAGCGAGAAACCCGTCACCCCACCAACGCCGGCCTCCCGCCGCGGCGGACCGTCCTCGCCCAGGCCTGACTGCCTGGTTGGCAGCGGGTCCCCGAGGAACAGAATGGCATGAAATCCTCACGCCTGCAGCCCCAGCTGCAGCCGGCTGGGCAGGAGAAGAAAATGCCCCCTGCCCCTGCACGCCTGCAGGCACGGGCCAGATCTTCAGCCTAACCCTGCCAGCCTGCGGCTCCGCTCTTCCCAAGGGTTAACAGGACAGGCGTTTGCAGAGTGGGGAGGGTTTCTGGCTGACCTTGGCCGGGAAGCAGCCGTGGTGGTGGCGTCGCTCAGCCCAGCCCCCCGAGCGTGGAGCTGGTGGCCGGAGCGCTCCCCAAGCCTGGGTGGAGGTAGATCCAGAGGAAACTCCACCTCCGCGGGAGCCAACCTGCTATTGCAGGAATTCCCAGAGAAATTCCTGCTTGGGCTGATCTGTCAACGGATCCGTGAACTTTCTTTTACCTCTTGTGAAAGCAGCTACTTGAATGTGCTAAAAACAGAGCAGGGGCGAGCCTGTCGCTGGAGCTGGCCTCGGGGGAGATGTTGGGAGGGGGCTTCAGCTGACCCCTGCACACCCAGAGGCACCAACAAAGTCTCTGTACGTGGTGCCTTGCTGGCAGCTCCCCTCAGCAGGCAGAGCTGGTGGAGCCAGGAGGAGAGCGTGCTACAAAATAAAACCCCACAAGATCTCACCTGGTTTTCACACTGGGCTACAGTGTTTCCCAAGTGACTCTCAGCTGCTTTGGACCCAGCGGATGGGCTGGATCAAGTCCGATGAGCTTTCCTTGCTTCCAGTAACCCCGGCAGATTCAAGTCACCGTCGTTCTTTTGGAGATCGGCCACCAAACCCCACCCTTTCCCTCGCTCCCAACCACTGGCGGATCAATCCGGTCCACTTTTGGGGAAGGCAGAGAGAAGAGGCACTCCTGGGCCCAGCCTTGCCCACCTACCCACCATGAGACCCCTGGAGAAGCTCTATCCTGAGACACCCCCAAATTTCAGGTGCGCCCCAGTCTCCAGGATCTCAGCCTTGGGGCCATGGCTTGCAGGGACAGGATGTTCAGCTGTCCTGGGCACTGAGCTGGTAGTGAGAGACCCCATCCAGGGAACAACAGACAGCAAGGAGGCTGGTAGACCCCGAGCCCTCATTCAGCACCGTGGGAGATGGGAGCAGCTGCCGTAGACTTTGCCAGAGCAGTGCTGATTTTGGGGAGGGGTTTTGATGTGTCTCCCCTCTTTTTTGCCCTCGTGAGCCTGCCTCAGCGGCAGTGGAGCGTTTCTGACTCTTGGTCATCTCCTGGCACAGCATCACTGGTGAGGAGGGTTGTCCTGCACAAGCCATTCCTAGCACTGACCACCCTGGGATGGTTATTCTGTTCCTCCCTGAGCCCAGGACAGCTCAGATTTGGGAGAGGAGGAGGAGGAAGAGAGACGGGGGAACGGATCCCCTAGACATGAGCTTGTGCCAGCTGCAGAACTGAGGCAGGGATCTGCCTTGTGTCCCCCTCCTTGCTGCAATTGTCTGATGTCCTTAGTCTCCTAGCCCTGGCACCAGGGACCTGGGAGGCCAAAATCCTCCAGTCAAACCCTTTAAAAAAAATGGAGAATTTGACACAAATGGTGGCTTGCATTTCTGTCTTGCAGACCGTCCTCTTTTCTCCTCTGAGGAGGGCAGGGACCTCTCCACACCTCGCCTTGTGGCACAGGCCCTCCTAACACAACCAGAAACCAGCTCCGTGTCCTCCGCTCCCCACAGCCTCCCACTGCATCTCTCCTGGCACTACTGGTGAGTAGCCTGTGCCTGGGGCCGCTGCCATCTGGACCTCCTGGGACAAGTCCTGCACTAGGAAGGGCTGCAGGATTGGTCTGCAGCGGGCAGCAGCCACCAAGGGGAACGTGGCCAGGACCACCCTGAATGGTAGCCCAGCCTCTGCCACCCTGTGGAACAGGGAGCGTGGAAGGGAGGACGCGGAGGAGATGACAGTTCCCCTGGGTCCTGCTGGTTGTGAGTGCCAGGGGGGAGTTTGGACCTCCAGCTTTGCAAACACTCTTCTGAGACACTTTGGATGTTCTCTAAACCTCCTCCTTCTAACGATTTTAATTATACTGGCTGCTGTTCAAAATAATAACGACGGGGGAAGGAATAAGTGCTAAGCAGCAGCCTGTCACGCTTCATGAGGTGTTCTCGGGGGATGCTGGGCCAGACGAGCAGCTGGCACAGAGCTGTGCCAGCCCAGTTGGTGCAGGCTGCCGCGCCACACCGGCCCCCGACGGGCTACGGGGCTCTGGGTCGCCCCGTGCGTGTGTGAGAGCGTGGGCAAGCGCTCAGATCTCCTTTCTCTCCCCCTCTCTGTCTCTTATTTGCCTCCATAAAACATAGGAAGTTCAAGCCATTCATTTTGCTATTTGTGTCTCCCTCCCCACGCCCCGGTTCCCTCCCTTGCCCCCTGCAGCCTCTCGGCTCGCTGCTTGCCCGGCATCCTTGACCCCGAGAAGTCTGGTGTGTCTGCACTTCCCTTTTGGCCCATGGAAAGCGCCACTCTGAACTGGTGCCTCGATAACTCTGCTGTGGGAAGGCAGGGGCTGCTGGGCTCTCACACAGGGCTTTCCCATGTAGCGTTTCCTATGCTGGCCCTTGCTCACCAGCGCGACCTCCAGACCAGGGTGGGGGGACGCTCTCCGGATGGCGGAGCCCCCTCTATGGCAGCGTCCTCCTCGGGCTCTCGTGACTTGCTCTGGGTCAAAAGCCATGGCGCGGGGAGGGAGGCATCCTCCTGAGGAGGAGAAGGAGGATGGTTGGCTTCTCATGGGCAAAGGTGGCACCTCTCAGCTCACCCGCAGCAAAGGATTGCAGAGAGCTTTGAGCTCCCCAGCCTCTTCCTCTCTGTGGTTTTGCAAATATCGTCTCGCACACGGTTTGGGATCGCTGGGACTTGTGTCCTGTCTGCAAAGGAGCACACAGACAGCAGAGCAGCCAGGGCTGGGACTGAGACCTCAGAGGAGCTGAGACGGGGATCGACTGGCAGAGAGGGAGGAGGGAGAGGCTCGGCGAGGAGGGCTGGGGCAGCACAGAGCAGCCTTTTCTCAGCAATACCCTTCTCTGTGCTGTTCAGCCAGAGCACAAGGCCC